TTTCTACCTACCAATTTCTCATGGCCAACCCTGCTTAATTTAGGGGATCTGTTGTTTCCTTGCCATCAAGAAACCACTGAACCACTTACCACTTCTTCTGTAGACAGTGCAAGAGATTTCCCTTCATCCTGTACAAGGGATCAGCACATTCACTGCCTCGTCACTGAAGACGCTGACATCTTGACTTGCTCCTCTTGTCTCAGAAAACTTTTTCTGTAACCTAATAGAATAACCCCCTGCTTGGATGAAATCCACAGTGCTATGATTTAGCTGAGTAGATTTATTACTATACTTAAAATTCCCATCTCACAATCTTTGTAATTAATGAACACCCGAAGAACATATTTCATGCAGGCTTAGAGCAGGAAAGGCTTTAAGGATCTCAGACCATGAATCTGCTTTTCGTTTGGTGCAAGATGCATTTGAAAGGGAGTTGTTTTTGCCTTATGATCAGAAACAAATTAAGTATGAAAAATACAGTGAAGTAGAGTTCAAGGAAAAGGGGAGCAGATAAGATGAGAAATTTATTTATGTGGTTAAAGCACTAGACAGAACCTCAAGGGATCAGATTGTGTTCCCAGCTCTGCCACAGACTAGTCTGTGAGCTTGCCTAAGATGCTTTGCCAGATCTGGACTAAATATATTAGTAATTGTCTGCTGCTGTCGTGGTGGGCATGGCAGGCAGAACCGCTGCTCAGCCACTGTCTAGACCTGAGACCTAGACATTTCTGCTAGTTGGCACCAACACATTCATGTCTTCTGTAGCCAACAGCTTGATCAGACTTTATGCTAACGCTGTAAGGAGGAGACTTGGGTTTGTCCCTTTTGGTACCTGGTGCTACAGGAAAGCCCTAAGCCTCAGCTGGATACATCCTGCACAAGAGAAAGTGGCAATAAGGGTGTTTGCATGGGTCCTTCATCATGGAGGTGACACAGGAGCTCATTCTTGCTCCACTGGATTTGAAGACACTTGCTTTCAGTCCTCCACGTGTCCAAAACCCCTATTGCTCTTCCCTAGGACACAAGCCGAAAAGCTTCTTACTGCATGGGACATGAAACGTTCTCTAATCAAAAATAATAAGAAATCAAATCTAGTAGCAAGGATACAAAGTCTGGTGTTAAAGCAGAAGGAGTAGAAGATGTATGTGGCTAAGGCAAGTTCCCTTCTTCCAGCCTGACTGGTGGAGGAAGATCTCTGTTCCCTTGCATTTGAAGATCTCTTCTGGTAGCAGGTTATCTCTGCAAATACTCTCTGCAGGGAGACCTTACCTCTTGCAGACCTCAGGATTTCATCATGTGGCAATGGGCAGAAAAAGCTGTGGTCTAGAACAGGCACCAATTTGTTTTGAAAGAGTCAGAAGTACTCAGAAGTACACAGCTGTCCAGCTCCTACTGATCTCTATAGGATTTGACTGCTTTTATGATCTGCTCATCTTATCTGCTGCAAAACGGAGGTGATGGCACAGCCTTCCTTTAGTTGGTGTACATGGGATGCTCTTTGGGAACGGGGAATCTCTTACCAAACCTTTACTGGGTGTTTGGAGCAGAATGCTATAGCTACAACCTTGTATCTCTTGGGAATGCAGCTGATGATGTTGGCAGAAGTCCGTGTGAGTGCCACAAGCCCTTATGGATATCTGTAAGAGCAATCAGAGTCAAAAGACTTGGCTGGGTGGCCCCATATCATTGTCTTTTTTTTTTTTCTTCTTTTTTTTCCAGATTTTTAGTGAGTAATTTTGTCCTGAGAGTTACTTGGATGCAAATTTTGGGTTTTCTCTTGCCTTGAAGCTGCCGTTATGTACGAGGGTCCGCAGAGTCAGTGGCAAGGGAAGGGTCTCCATCCTCCCATCAACTTTCACACACAGCATGATGAGTACTCCTGGGGAGCCATCACTAACATTCCTGGGCCACAGCAAAATATGATCATTATGTAGCTCCAGAGATGACTGTAAGATATAAAAGGAGAAAGGGTGGGGCTGGGGGAGATCCCAGAGGACAGACAGTAGCCCGTTCCCACACAAGGACTGGAGGGTGTGATGCCGATTCCAGCAATTCGCTAGGGTAAACCAAGGGCACAGTTAACAGAAGGCAATGACATGAATTAAACCGGGTGTCTGGGAAGAGAGACATTGCCAGAGATGGCACCAAATGCAGATGAAATCCTAGCAGTCGACCAATATGTTGAGAACTTTGTAGACGGCGAATCCCATGCCAGCAATCCAAGTGCTGGGGTCAAGGATGAAAACCCACCAAAATCATAAGCTGAAAGCATTAGTCATCGTCTGTATAAATGAAAACTGGCAATGTGGCAGCTGCCTCGGTCAGAGCTGTTTCATATTTGAATGGCCCCATACGGAGAAAGTTTGAATCAGAAATACAATTAAGCCAAGAGGGAATGAGACATTAAGCCACCACAGGGGATAAAAGGGAGAATATTTCAATATGTAAACAAGAAGAAGACTCCCGGGACGCTGAGACAAATATTAAAAGGACAATGCCCAACGATGACACAGAGCAAGAGAGGTTGAAGCAGATGTAGCTTCACTGTCTGCTGTAGGTTTTACATGCAAGCATGTCTGAAGGTCAACGAACAGGAATTTCCTGGCCAAGTCTACATTGTTCAGTTACTCCTGCTTTTAGTTTAGGGTAAAACTGGCATTTATTACTCGCAGAGCACCACAGATGTATCACATTGCTGCCGGAAACAAGAAATGGGATCAAAACTTGGGAAATTGAGGCCAAACTCCTTCCTGTACTGTCCCGCCTCTTTATTTATTTATTTTTACTAGACAGCTTAACTGGGCCTGGGTCTTTGCTTCTTCTTTGAAGAAGACCCTCCCTCTGTCTGTCTTGTCTGCTAAGATACAAGCTCTTCATGCCAACAGTGAATGAAGGAGTGTCTTGGGTTCTCCCAGCTCTCCAATATGCCTGGGAAGCCGTTGAGTTTGCAAGGGCTGGATGTGCTGAACAAAAGCAGGGGTTTGGGTCATTGTGCAGACCGTGCAGCTGGCTTGGAGTCAACAAGAAAACTCTTCAAGCTATTTCAGAAGCATGTAAGGACATAAGAGCAGCTGTGCTGGTGACCTTTTTACATTGCTCCTGGGGTGGAAACTTAGTAAAGGAGAATAAAAGCAGAGGATAGCGATATTTAGGGACTTGCCAAGCTCCAGGTGGTACATTTGTGTTGAAGAGCCTCTGATGGACATTTCACCCCTTATCTATTCAGTTCCCTTTAGGATCTGTACAAGTGTTTGGTATTCATAATGCCTGCTAACAACAAGGTCCATTACTAATCTCCAGACTTTGTGAAAACGCAGAAGTTTGAGGTCCTCCTCATCCTTCTGCCTAAAAACATCATTTGATGACCCTAGTTCTGCCATTATTGGAAAGAATTGACAATTATTCTCTATTCAGTGTGCCTCTTTGTTAAGACATTTGTTGTATCTCTCTTGTATAAGCTTTTACCATGCTGACCAGTCCTATCCTTTTTGTGCACTTTTTGTAGCAAAAACATTTTCCTTTTAATACTTTTCTTATATATCCTGGTTGAGGAGCAAAGCTCAGAGGACAGAAGAGTTTTTGAAATTTGGGTACTCTGTGGTTTCTTTATTGACATCATCCTGTAGTTTTCTATCCCTTCCCCAGTAATGGCTTCCCCATGATAACTTTTCCTAAATGGTTTTTAACCACAACTGAATGTTCAACTCATGTTTGCATAGAACTTACTCTTATGGCACCAACCTCTCTTTTCTGAGTGCCGAGGGGTAGTTCAGGGAGTTTCACTTTATAGAAAAAAGGTTGTTTAAGTCAATCCACACATAACATTTACTGCCTTTGGCTTTTATCCCTCAACCGCTCTGCAAGACGATCTCTTTCTATGACTTTTTACAGCTGCTTTCCTCTTTAGGATTCCTAGTAACTGAATGTCCTTCACAAAAACGTCCCCTAATTTTTCCTTCCCCCTTTTTCAGATGCTTATGGATGTACTGCATGTTCCAGTCTGTATCCCAGATCCTACAGATGCTGCCTGGTGTTATACTTCCACTGCAAAAAACAGTTATGTATCTCTACCTCTCAAGTGGTATCAGTCCCTGAAACTTCACCTTCTCTTTTGTGAAATTCTTCTGAAACTACTGTTTAACTAAAGGCTCATATGATTTTTTTTTTTCCATCTTCCCACCTTCTCAAGAGAAGACCCCAGAAAAATATCAATCTTATGGTATTTTTCATCCACCAGGAAATCCCGTTAGACCTGAGGTAGCCATCATGGGAGTTATGTGTAATTTACATAAACTTGGGCAAATGCTCAATTGAACACAACCTTAGAGTCTTCCTACGTCCCCTGAGGGGTCTTTTTGTGTTTTTCTGTTGATGCAGCTGTAGTTGGCTGTTACTGTGGACAAGTTGCTATTGATGGGAAGCAGTCCTCTAATAATGGGTTAGTCACGAAATTCTACATGTATGTAGAGAATACCAATTTCTTTATTTTATTTTTTATATAAAAATTGCACTTCCAAAGCTGGAGAGCTACTACTTGTCTAGCTCTCTTCTGCTTGTCTAGCTAACGGGCACCTGGAGATAGTTCTCTTGGAATGGGCATCTTCCTTGGGACATGTCTTGGAGAAGGAATAGGGTGTCTCTGTGCATGGGCAAATGACCTGGAGTCTCTCCAGGATGAAGCCTAAAGCCCCAGTAAGATCAACTTATCCAGAAAATGATGGATTAGAGAATGGAGAAAAGTTTCCAGCCTTACCACCAGGTCCCTGGGACCTCACCACTCCACTAATCCATTGTCTTAACAGTTTGACAGCATTACAGTACTAAGTGGCACTGCAAAATATTTTCTGGTTCACAAGAGAATTGAACTGTGTTTCCCCATCTCTTCTGCTGAGAGTAGCAAACATCTGTTATAGTCCTAGCTCCTGCCTTGCACCCTCTTTCTCATGAGAGTTTTTCTTTCGCAGTTCAGGCTAAGCACTGGAGTTAAACTCCACACACACCTGGAGCACCACAAACCTTCAGTATTTCCACTGAAACTTCAGCAAAAGTCCTGAATTTTCACCAGCAAGAACAAGGTGACTTCACTCCCCTGGTATCAGCACTGAGACCCTTTCATCTTCCTCCACTGCCAGAGTATATTGGCACCTGGATGAAAAAAAAAAAAAAAAGTAATAATAAAAAAAAATCTTGACTTGTACATTATCCCTCATAAAGAATGTAAAAGTGGAGGTTCATGACAAATTTTCTATCTGCTTCTGTTATAGTAAACAGTCTTCTAGGTCTTTACTATTCACTTAATTTATTTATTTTCAGGGTATTTTTCATGAAGGTCCACTCATCTGCCTTTGAAGTCTCCCAGGCTTTCTCCTCTGTGTGAGTAAGAGGAAAATACATTCCTGACTGTAGAAGTAGCTTTATGCCTCATGGACAATGAGAACACCATTTCAAGCCCTGCCTTTGTACAGAGATGCATGAAGCATTGATGAGGAACACACGATGCACTGTATTTTTCTCATTGAACTTACCATCTTTACACATCAATATGCAAGGTATCCCTCCAGAGGGTTTTTTTTAAACATTTTAAAATTATTTTTATTTCTAGTCATCTCTATGCAATGCAAAATGAAACATGCTTTGGAGTAATTCATACCATGAGATGACTCACAACATTTCTCTCTTGTAGGGAGACTAAATTTTGAAGTAACGTCAGATGAATACAGGAAAATTAACGGGCATATTGATGGATATTGTATCAAAGACAAGGGCTGCAGGCAAGATGTTTGAAGGCTCATAATTTTCACTAATAGATCTGTAGCTTTCAAATATGAAAATAAAGCAAGATTAGATTCAACCAACCAGACTGGAATGAAAACCGTGAGAATTACAGGGATCTTCCTTGGCTCCTGTGAGATGGGATTTGAAGACACCATACAGAGGGCACAGTAGCTCTGCATTCATCAGTGTTCCTGGGTGTATATTTTCCAGACAAAAAAAGAAGGTGAATTTTATGGATTCTAACTTACTCTAGTGAGTTAGAAGAACAAACAGTAGAAATCCCAGTTTATGTGGTACCTGACAGTCCCTCTATTCCTTTTTCCTAGCTCTTCCAGTGGTCAGCAGCAAGCACTTAGAGGAGGAGAGTGTAAGGGATTTCTTCCCCATCAAACTCATAGCAACTAGGACTAGGGCAATTCCACAATTGTAACATGCCAAAGAGGAGGCATGAAATGTTTCAGTCATGCTTTTCTGTCTTGCCCACAGTTTAATCTGTTTTCTTCACATGCATCAGAAGAAACCTCATCCCCTTTATGACTGCTTCAAACCATGGCTGCCACAAAGAAACCTTACCCCGCAGAGGGGAGCCTGGTCATTTCCAAATTGAATCTCTGGGAAGAGTTCAAATATAACTATTTCCTAAGTGTGGAAATAAACATGTTGTGTGGGTTGCTTCAGTGGTTTAGAACCTCCTGACTTACAGTCCAAGAAAATTGTCTTCCTGCTAGGTGGGTTTAAAACAAAAAAAATGTCTCCTTTTAGCTCTACTAACCCTGAAGGTTTCTTAAAAGCCTCCAGCAAGCAAAGAAACAAACAAACAACAAAAAATAAAATACCAGACATCCAAAACTGTCTCTTCTTGTCCATGCTCCTACGTGGAACAGCTGTGAGCAGCTTGTTAGGAGACACCACTGACATATTTGCTTTTGGTTAACCCGTCCTTCTTAACAGAGAGAGAACAGTAACCAAACCCGAGAGCACTTCCAACGACAACCACCATGTAAACAGATGGTTAACAAGGGGAACACTGGACGAGAAAGCTACTCCTCCATCTGTTCTTCATAGAAACTCTCATTACCTAAATGGACCTGGAAAACCTTGTTCTAGGTATCTTGACAGGATGATTTATTACTATTCTTTTCCTAGCAAAAGGACCCAAAGCAAAAAGTAAAAAATAAAAAATTGGGGTCTGACCTGAACCACGTATCCAGGGACTCAGAATAATTTATCATTCCTCTTCTCTCTCCAGTATGTATGACATAGGTATCTCACTTCTTTGTCTTTCCTGGTTTATTTTTGGAATAACAATATGAATTCACAATAGTCATAGGAACTGTTTCCTCAGCTTGATTTGAATCACCTTAATACACACAATTCAGGTCACATCAAGGGTCTGTTAATGTTTTCCCTCACCAGGGCTGCTCTTTGAGCCCTGTGGGGTGCAAATCACCACGGAGCAGTGGGGTGGGCTGTGCTAGGACTTCAGAGCATCACAGAATCACAGAATGGTTGAGGTTGGAAGGGATCCCTGGAGATCATCTGGTCCAACCCCTCTGCGCAAGCAGGGACACCCGTCACATATCAGACAAGATCACATTCAGGTGGGTTTTGAATATGTCCAGAGAAGGTCTCACAGTTCTCTAAAACTGTACCTGTAGACTGCTCTGAGCTCTGCCAGTTCTCAAACCACCTCAACTGTCCATTCCTTTGTCCCACATTTCCTGAGATTATCAATGAGGATAGGGTGGGAGATGACCCACCCATCCCCTCAGAGACATGAGCCTTCCTACGAAACCCTGCAGATACCAGGGTATGGCTGCCCCCACCCTGATATAAAGCCCAGCAGACACCTACATTATGTGGGGTGTACAAACCAAGTGAGGCAAAGCTCTGGCTGCAGGACAGATGTCTCAGCCTAGCTGGAAGTGATAACAGAGATGAAGAATATAAACCAGCCCCAAATCTGTCTTCTGAATGACTAATTGGGCTGAGTCTTGACTGAACATCAGATGGTGTCTCATCTACAGCCAGATTCGGTTATCACTCTCCACTGATGTTAAAAATGAATAGTGATCTGATAATCTCCTGTCTAGGGGAGACATGGTTTATGGTGTAAAAGGTGCATCTCAGACTTCTTAGAATCCCAGGAGTCCTGCAAGCACTGGAAATAGGGAAGCCAGGTTTCCTACTGAACTGTGGCTCTTGGTTGATTGCTTTTGGTGTCTAAAAAGCCTGTGAACTCTAAGTTATATTTTTCTTGCTGTGGAGTCATTTATAGAGCCTCTTTCTCTTTTTCTCTCCCCTGTGTGGGTTCTCAGATCAGCATTTGTAAGGTCTCCTGCCCAGCTAGCTGCCTGTCCTCATGCAGTTGATGGTAACACAACACAGCTGAGACATGGGATAGACAAAGACACTCACTCACAACACACTAAAGCTTTCTTTTGGTGGATTAGACATAGATAAAATGGCTTATACCCAAGCACACAAAGGAATCAGAGAAAGTTAATAATTTCCAAGGCTCTGGGGCTAGCCAGGACCTTTCTAATAATCTTATCTGAGTTGCACAACTCAGGCCAATGAACTGCACTAAACAGCTTTTTTTTTTTTTTTTTTTTTTTTTTTTTTTTTTTTAGCTAAAAGACATAATCTAATAGAATCATCTAATAGAAGAAACAGCAAACTGGGATCAGCATTCAGTATGTAATTTGCTATTTCAGTTTGTGTTGCTTAATTAATTCTATGCTTCAGTTCCCTCTGGGCAAAATATAAATAACAATACTTCACTGTTTCACAAAAATATTGTAGCTGTTATGTTAAATGCTTGTAAAGTCATTCAGATACCACAGTGGTGAGAGCCATGGAAAAATCTATACATAAATCAGCAGTGTTTATATTTCTGCTGATAGCAGAGATATCACAGAGTGGTTTTTATTTTGTTTTTATCCCCAAGTGTGGAGAAGACATCTTCTCTGTCATATTACACACTGAAAAAAAAATTGGCTCATCAACATAATAGTGCAAAAAAGGAGAATAAATAGTTTTTTAGTAGCAATGTCATTCTTTGCATCTTCAAAGCACTTTTTAAATATCTGCCAGGAAGCTGACTTTCCATTCTGACATTCAGATTCCCAGGGTATTGTTTCTATTTTGGTGAAATGTTTGTTATGACAGCGTGATCTGCCTGAAGGAGTAACCTCAGCATTTGAGAACCCATCCCTAGCAGATCTGCATCACAAATTTCATTTTTAAGTGGCTTTTCTAAAATATATCTAAACACATGTGTTAATGATCCTATTCTTTATTACAAATTGACTGGGAATTGTCTGTACATGTGAGAATGATCCAAGTCTTTCTCCTCTGTTGTGTAATAAGGAGGTTGGAAGGATGCCTTTTTGGAGAGGAATTGGGATTTAACACCATAAACATAAATTGGGAGAAAAAAAAGCTGAAAGATTAAATGACGTGTGCTAAGGAGACTGTCTTCCTGCCATTTGCTTTTTCAGAGGTGAAGAAGGGCACAGAGAACTGAGAAGAGTGAGCTGAGTTTTGGATGAGCTGCTCTGCAGGACCTGATCCCTATCCTGAGCACATAAAGCCAATGGCCAAGGAAGAGAGTCCTCTGCAAGTCAATGCTCCTGGGGAGCTCAAAAATTGAGTTTTACGAGAAACCAGGTCTCCCAAATTCAGTCTAGAGTCACTGGAAAACCTTGCTAAGGACCTTAAGGCATTGGCCCTCCAACCTGTGAGGTGATAAAACCCTCCTTTCAGTGCAAGTGAGCTGTGCAGCCTGATTAGCCTTGGGTTTTGGGCTGCTTCCTAGGATGGTGTGGCTCCACGAGTTAGCTGTAGGAAGGGTCAGTTTGCCAGGCCCTTGTTTATGAACCCAAGTAGTCAATGTCATCCAGAGGGCTTGAAGACAGTCATGAAAATGTACTGCTCAGAGGAAGCTCACCTACAGAAAGCTGTACTGCTCACCTGCATTCCTCAGTCTGGAGGAGACCATTGTCTTGGTTGTTTTTTTGTTTGTTTGTTTGTTTGTTTGTTTGTTTTGGTTTTGTTTTGTTTTGTTTTGCTTTGCTTTGCTTTTTTTTTCTTGGATCTGAGATTCGAGGTAGAATTTACTCTCTTGCAATGAGGAAACAGAAGAGGAGAAGAGTCTGCTTAGCAAAGGTGTCAACTTTGAAGTTTTGCATCATAGAATCACAAAATCAGAGAATATCCTGAGTGGAAAGAGACCCACAAGGATCATCAAATCCAGATTCTGGGTCTTCACAGAACCACTCAAAAATCAAACCATACTTCTAAGAGTGGTGTCCAAACACTTCTTGAACTCCAGCAGGCTCAGTGCTGTGACCACTGCCCTGGGCAGC